ATTATGCAAGGGTGGCAGAATGTGGCAGCTGTGTTCATTCTGCTTGGTTTCCTTCCAGGCTCTAGGAAAAAGGGAAGATTAGTGACCAAGACTTGCTATCAACTCAGTCATGCAAGCTAAGACATTTTTTTGTGCTAACTATAGCCTCTTGATGCCTGAATATTTTCAGACAACATCGTAAGTGAATGAGGATTGGTTTCAGCAAAGTTGCACCTGCTGTAATGAAAAGGATAAATTGGCCTCACTCTTCTGGATGTCCAGCCTCAGCTCAACTACGTGGGCAGCCTCAGAAACCATATTACAGTCAAATGAATATTTCAGCATGATAACAAGTGATTTTCATGTTAGCCAAGGTTCTGGGCAAGCCAGGGCAAGGAGTATCTCACATTTTTACTGATGATGTCACAAATCACACTTTTTGTCAGAAAGACAGAATATACAATATTCATGCTCCTGTGCTACCCTCTCTCCTGAGGTTCTGGAAAGCTCTTAAAACCTGGCTTTGATCCCAGGCCTGGGGTTAATGTATTTTTGGGAGCCCTGCTGTCATGTCTTGTTGCTGTTATGATTGTTTTAGTCCAGGCTGTCTGTGTGGTTTTATGTTTTTAATTGTTTTTACTCTTTTATGGTTCTGTATGCTGCCCAGAGTCCATCTGAGTGGGGCAGCTATAAATAATAATAATAATAATAATAATAATAATAATAATAATAATAATAATATACCACCTGCCATTTTTCTTCTGTTTAGCAGAAGCATCATTAATGAAGGGAGGGAGAGAGGGAGGAGCTAAAGCCTTTTCATAATAATTATTGAGCCTCTGACACTAAGGTCCAGCAGTGGGTATGGGACTGTAAGAACAATAGGCTCTGATAGCATTCACTGTCTAGAGTTTAAGAAGGAAAAAAAAATTCTCATGAAAAAGGAAACTAGAACTTTATTACTATTGTTGCCTATTTCAGACATTCAGCAAAGTCTCTTTAGGTTAAATGCACTCTTATGTTTGTTATAATTTCTTGGTGTCCCCCTCTAGAATATCATACCTCAACTAGGTATCCTCTGGATATTCTTCCATTTATATACTGCTACTATTGTGATAATTGTAGCAGTATATTTCCATAATTTCCACCACAGGCCATGCTAGCTCGGAGTTTTGGGATTTCTGTAGCCATTATCCATCTGGATGGGACTAAGCTGAAGAAGGTTGCTCAGCTCATATCTAAACATTTTTGAACTTTTAGAGAATTAAAAAATATTCCCCAAGAGGCTAAGATGACAATATAAATATTTTTTAAGCTCATGCAGTACTAATTAAATCTTGGAATTCAAGTCTTTCCATCTTAAAATATGAAGAAACTGATCCACCCTGGTTTTTTCATTAAGAGTAATATCAGAACATTTGATTAAGTTTTCTTCTATTTATGGATAAAACAAACTCCTAATTTATCTTAATCTGAAACTTCTGATTTATCTTAATCTAAAAATGAGAATCAACTGTCCTCCCATTGTCTAACAGCTATGTTTTACTATGAGGATTCCTGCTGAATAATAGGACTTACCAAAAGAGTTAGTTGTACGTAGCAGAATCATTTCCAATCCTAGCTTCCTTTACTGGCTGGATGGCGTGAAGCTTTATTATATTGTCTGCAGGCAAGGGAGTCTGGGTTTTTGTTTTTTCTTTTTAAATTACAATTCCCTCACTTCTCTTAAACGTGAATCCTGAAGACCGCTGGATAGTTTGAAAACAAAGGGAAGGCACGTTGCTGTCAGTCAGTTACTCTATTAGATCAGTGGCCTACAGCTGAACTGACTGCTGAACCATGCGTTTTGTATTTTAGCACCTTATTATTCTAAATACTGTGACAGAACGTATTATTTGCATGTTACTGCCTGTACATTTAAATTTTTGTCTAGTTGTTTTATTTATTTCAAATCTTTTTATGCTACTTCAATTCTTCCCACTACACAGCTAATGGCAAAAAACAAAACAGAAAACAAAAGAAAAAACCCCAATAAATAATATGGTAAAAAATAACTTCTTTGATACTGTGACTTATAACATACCTAACTAAATTTAAAATTGTCTATCACAATACTCAATAAATTACATCTATTCTGATAGTGCTGATGTGCATCTCAGATAATCTGTTCCTTATTCCGCTCTCCCAAAGCATCTTTGAAAAAGGTAAGTTTTTAATAGCTTTCTAAGAATCAAGAATATAAGCAAAGTTCTAGTAGTAGAGCTCCTGAAGACAAGTCCCATCCTCCTGAACCTCAAGGAGCATGGAGAGGCTCAGCAAGCATTTTCTGCAGGCATGCCTTGTGGGTGGGCAGATCCTATTTGCGTCAGCCCTATAAGGTGGACCAGACTTAGAAAGCAGTGCCGTATCCGCCAGGACTACTTTTATTGTAACAGCTCTAGTAACAGAATCTTGCAAGTCTGAGGTTTATGTGTATAGTCTTTTTATATAGTATGATTTTTTAGCTAATTTAATGTGGATATTTATATTTTTAACTGTTTTTGATGTTTGATTTTAA